GCCAGGCGGCTCCCAGGCCGAGGGCCGGGGGCGGGGCCGTGTTTCGGGGCGCGTATCGATTGGCTATATCCCAGAAGGGGGCGGGACCTGGAGAGACCCCGCCTCCTCCGCCGGCGCGGTTCCGCCTTCGCCTCCCCTGACCTCCCGCCATGGCCTCCCCGAGTCAAGGCGTTGGAGCGCGGTGTCCAGGGTCTCGGGGACCGTGGAAGGGGCTGGAGAGGAGGAGCAGGTGCCTCTGCCGCCCGCCCCGTCGTGTCTCCGGCGGGGTTCTGTCCGGGACTGCGGCTCCAGAAGAATCGCGCTCCGCCTGCTAGTTGTGCAGGAGGGAATCCGGGTGAGCTCGCCGACCTGCAGCCCCGGGGGCTCCCCGACCGTGCAAAGTCCGAGCTCGGGGTGCGGCCTGGAGGAGGGCGGGGCGCCGCTCGGTCCCGAGCTAAGCCTTGCAAGAGAAGGATCGCGCCGGGAAGCGCGCGTGCACACGCCCTTCCGCCCCGGGTCCCTGCAGCGCGCTCCCTGCACCTCCCAGCCGAGCGGGGCGAGGGGTGGAGGACCATGCCTCCCCGGAGACACCCCGACTTCGGGCTAACGTGCAGCACCAGCATCGAGTGCAAGGCCAGGTTGGAGGTCATGGTTCCTCCCGGCACCGCGAGTGAGCGGCTCGGCTGGGCTGAAAGGTAGGAGGCGGACCGGGTCCCGTCGTCTTTAAAGTTTCATGGTTTGCTCCTTGTGAATTTTTTTTTTTGCATCATCCATTTAAAAAATATAGCATGAAAGGGCCCTGTACCTGGATTTCTGAGCTTCGGGGGCGTCCCTGTGAATTGCACGCTGTGGATGGAGTCTCTCGCACCGCCCTCGCCCTGGGGTGGGTCTCACTTGGCGAGAGGGAGGTTCGGAGGAGGCAGCTGGTGCTTTGCGCTCCTGGGAACCAAAAGCTGCGTTTTCCTGCTCCGGAAAGAGGCAATTCCAGTTTTGATTGATAGATCCTCCAGGGGCGTGGTCAGGGATGCACGTGTCAAGTTGAACCCGCAGGGCAAACAACTACCAGGGGGTTGGGCCTGTGTTGCTCAATGGTTGAGCATCGACCTAGGAACCAGGAGGGCAGGGCACAGGCCCGGGTTGCGGGCTCCATCCCCAGTGTGGGGCGTGCAGGAGGCAGCTGATCCATGACTCTCTCTCATCCTGGATGTTTCTCTCTCTCGCTCCCTCTCCCTTCCTCTCTGAAATCAATAAAAATATATTAGAAAATAGTAATAAAATAAAATAAAATAAAAAAAAAAGTTAGTACTTTAAATGAAGCCTGTATTGACTACTATAAACTCCATGAAAATGGTGTTATTTCATAAATTAGTTGTAATTAAATTTTCTGTATCTGTCTATATTGACCTGGGCAAGCACCCTTGTATTTTTTTTAAATATGTTTTTTATTGATTTCAGAGAGGAAGGGAGAGGGAGACAGAGAGAAACATAAATGATGAGAAGGAATCATGGATGGGCTGCCTCCTGCACGCCCCACACTGGGCACTGAGCCCACAACCCGGGCATGTGCCCTTGACCAGACTTGAACCTGGGTCTCTTGAGTCTGCAGGCTGACGCTTTATCCACTGAGCCACACCAGCTAGTGCTGGCGTCTTTTTAAAGGGCATTCCACTTTTTTTAAAAAATATATTTTATTGATTTTTTACAGAGAGGAAGGGAGAGAGATAGAGAGTTAGAAACATCGATGAGAGAGAAA